ACTGTGTGTTTGTTTTTAACAGAAATTTGAGCAGGGCTTCATTACAGACCCGGTGGTAATGAGTCCCCATCAGACAGTAGGGGACGTGTTTGAGGCTAAGATCCGCCATGGCTTCTCTGGGATCCCAGTTACAGAGACGGGCAAGATGGGCAGCAAGCTGGTCGGCATAGTCACCTCCAGAGATATAGATTTTCTTTCTGAGAAGGATCATGGCAGACCTCTGGAGGAGGTGGGTGTGTGACTGTTGTTATGTTTCTGCAAGAAATAGTACGTCTTCAGGGATGTAATACAGATGATGCTAAATAAGTCTACAGCTTCCACGATACACTGTTCACGGTTTTCTTACTTTCCTGTTCAGGCAATGACAAAAAGGGAAGATCTAGTTGTTGCACCAGCTGGAGTCACACTGAAAGAGGCTAATGATATACTTCAGCGTAGCAAAAAAGGTAAATCTTTAAGAAGGTCATGCTGGTGTAAAGGAAGTAATCCACATTTGGACTAATAGGGTTGTCTGTCTTCTTTAACACACAATGCCATCTGATTCTCCTAGGTAAGCTTCCTATAGTAAATGACAGCGATGAGCTGGTAGCCATTATTGCTAGGACTGATTTAAAGAAGAACAGAGATTATCCTCTGGCTTCTAAGGACTCCCGCAAACAGCTGCTGTGTGGAGCTGCTATCGGTACCAGGGAGGACGACAAGTACAGACTGGACCTCCTCATGCAGGCAGGGGTGGATGTGGTGGTCCTGGTAAGTTTTGACTGCGATCTGATTTAGATTCTAGTAAATGAACTGGATTCATCAGATGAATATAATCGCTTTGGGGTTTTCCATATGAGAAATGTCTTTGCAATGTTCTTATGTACAGGACTCATCCCAAGGAAACTCGGTGTATCAGATCAACATGATCAACTACATCAAACAGAAATATCCTGAGCTACAGGTGGTTGGAGGAAATGGTGAGCTCAACCTTTTTTTCTCATTCCTCTGCATTTGTCTTCTCTGAAAGCCCTTTGTACTTTGGCAGTTTCTTCTTCAATCAGTCCTTTTCTGTGCCTCTGTCTCTCTCTAGTGGTGACAGCCGCTCAGGCTAAAAACCTCATAGATGCCGGCGTGGATGCCCTGAGGGTCGGCATGGGGTGTGGCTCTATCTGTATCACCCAGGAAGGTATGATAAAGAGTGCAGCATTGCTCAGAATAACATCTTGTACATCCGGAAAGTCAATAAGACTGCCTCTTTCCATGTAAAACGGAGACAGCAAATTAGTTCACATGTGATAAACCTAAAGAAGAATATTAATCTATTGGTTTCAGTTGTATAATTTGCTGCCCCATTATATCATGCTCTTATTCCTCAGTGATGGCATGTGGACGGCCCCAAGGTACATCAGTTTACAAGGTTGCAGAGTATGCCAGACGCTTTGGAGTGCCGGTAATCGCTGATGGAGGCATTCAAACTGTTGGGCATGTGGTAAAGGCTCTGGCCCTGGGAGCATCTACAGGTACAAGGAGACAATATTCTCCTGTTTCTAAGTCAGTGTATATTTCTTCTAACAAACAGAAAACAAAAAGCAGTATTTTGGGGTAATTGTTTCCCCATTTTCGTCCTCAGTGATGATGGGGTCATTGCTTGCGGCAACCACCGAAGCTCCGGGAGAATATTTCTTTTCAGACGGCGTACGTCTGAAAAAGTACAGAGGAATGGGCTCCTTGGATGCTATGGAGAAAAATAACAGTCAGAAGCGTTACTTTAGGTGCGGGAGTGAGGTTACAGAGGCTCTACACTTATTCTGGAAACATATATAGCTGTGACACATTTATCTTGCACTCTATGTGAATTGTATTTGTGTGTCCAGTGAGGGAGATAAGGTGAAGGTGGCTCAAGGTGTCTCAGGATCAGTACAAGATAAAGGCTCCATCCATAAGTTTGTTCCTTACCTAATCGCTGGTATCCAACACGGCTGTCAGGACATAGGAGCCAAGAGTTTGTCCATTTTACGGTAAGTGTGAAATTGTTCTTCCTGTATTTTTATTTTTTTTTCTTATCATGTGAAGGTTTTTGGCAAGTGTGAACTGTTTGTGTTGGTCCCAGGTCAATGATGTACTCTGGTGAGTTAAAGTTTGAAAAGAGAACCATGTCTGCTCAGATGGAGGGAGGAGTCCACGGCCTCCATTCGTAAGTCTGACCTGTGACCTTTGGCTTCTAGTAACTCCTCCTTCTTTATCCATGTGCCTCTTTCCCTCTTTCTACTGTCTAAATATGTTGTTGTAGTGATGTTTAGGTGAAGCCTTCCATTACCTGGTTCCTATCTTTCCTGTTGAAACACAACAACAAGGACACATACAAACTTCCCTTGTATTCTGCTTCTTTGTCAGAAACCTTTTACTGTCACATTGAGTGTAATTAGCGACATCAAAATTGTCTTCTTTCTTCCTCTTTTCTTACCCATGCTATCACATTAGATATTCTTTTGTGCCATGTAAGTACATCCATGCAGTTACGACACCTCCATCTTCTCATTTCTTTTAACTCGTCTCCTTTAAAGACAGTTCTTTTAGCAGTAAAATGCATCCTTACGATTTCCTTTTTTTTTTCTATTCCAAATGCAGTTATGAGAAGCGGCTTTACTGAGGCGGGAGGAAGAGGAAACGCTCGATCAGGACCTAACGTCCCGGCCCCGGCTGCTGTGAGCAGATCTGGGCGCATGTGATCGAGCTATAAAACGCTGTCGTGGCATCAACGCTCTGAAGTCTGACGCTACTTTTTTGTGACCTCTTCCCTTCCTCTTGTTTGTCCCATCTCTGTCCCCTCCAAAGCTAAACAAATCAATCCTCTCTAAGTTCAAAGAGCCAAAGAGGACAGGGTCAAAGGGTAGGGTTAAAGAGGAAGGTCATGTTTCAGCACATGAAGTCTTTATCTGTCTGCTCTGGCCAAGGTGTAAAGTGGGGTAATGTAATCAACTATTCTGCTGATCCCTTTCACGAAAAAAAAAAAACTCAGGTTAGCTTATCATCGCTAATGTAATGAGAGGCCTGTCTGGCAGCTGAATTGAATACAGAAGAGAATACAGCAAATCTTACAGCCAGATACTGTTTTTATTTTCAGAAAAGGTTGATCATATTTAAGACCAAGAGCATACATACAGTACAATTATGTTCTGATTTTCTTCTTTCTGCACTGGCTAGATTTTATTTAAGAAAAGTTATCTCTCTGATAGGTGAGAATGTGCATTTTATTATGGGTTTGGATGTTCTGATCGGTTCGCCCTGTGTGTAAATTCACTCCCAGACCGTGAGCTCGGTGCTGTACATTTGTAAAAGTCACATACATGTCCGAAATAGGGAAGCACTTTAAAGGAGCAGTCGTGAGCAGTCCCACCTTGAACTCTATTAATCTCATTTGCAGTAGAAAACTCTGGACAACAAAATGTTTGAGTGACAAAACAGCATCTTTAGTTTTCATACATCATCCCCATCCTGGTTTGTTGTGTTTTTCCATTATTTCACATTGCAAAAATGCATCATTAATAACTGTACATAATTTTTAATATAGGTGATTATCTGTCTTTTTTTTCCAGGCTCAGTATTTAAAATAATAAACACTGAGTCAATGAACTACGACTACAGAGTCGGTAGAGTAGGGTAGTAACAAACCATTTGCCCAGTTTAGATTTATTTCTTTATCAACAAAAAGCTTTTCTCCAGTTTCTGTATTAGTTTTAAATGCTATCTTTGGTATTACATACAGTATACTGCTCAGAGTTAAACTGTGGCTCCTAATTTTGCAGTAACCTGTGACCAGTTTTATGGGTCTTTGTACTGGTTGGCATGTTTGACAGTTTCTTGATCATTTCTTACTTTAAGGTTACAAAAGCACAATAATTCTCACTGTCTTCTATTATCGTCCATCATAAGGATTCAAAATTATATTTACTGTAAATAGTGTTGAGTGAATAAAGATAATTTTGACAAGAACAGTTTGATGTTATTCTAAACTTTTTCTCATTTCCCTAGAACTTTAGGAAGACAAAAAGGCTTTGTTCGTCATCTCAGCTCCTGCGTAGGGGATTTTTTTCTCTCATTTTCAGAGTTTTCCTTTAATGCTCAATGATGTCACTGTCAAAAATGTATTGAAACCGTAAACGTATACAGATTGCCAGAGTTTGAATCCACTAGTAGTTCAAAAGAGGCGATTACTGCAACTGTAAATGTATTTTTTTTTAACAACATTTCAAAAATACCACTCAAATTGTTGGTAGAGCAGGTGATACAAAACCAGGGAAGACAAATTCATCCCATTTTTTAATGCATTTTTTCCATGTTTTCTACAACACACTAAAAAACCATGATGACGTGTAAGGAAAGTACACCATGCCAAAATTTCTGTTCCTAAATTGTATAGCTAAGTTATATTTCAATTATTTATTATATACTGTAACCAATGTTTTTTTTTTTTTGTTGAAAATTGTGTCTAAGGATATAAAAAGGGGAGAGGTTAAATGGGTTTACCTCATTTTTAGGAGTTCAGGTTGTTCCCTGGCTACGCTTTATATGTTTTTCATAAACTTTTAGATTTTTGTTTTCAAGCTCAGTGTGTCACAAACATTAAAATTCCTGTTTCAGTTAACATCCTGACAGCAGTTGGCACTATTTAGCAACAGATGTTTGATTCTTGACATTCATGAACGTCAAACTGAACTGGATGTATACTGAAATTAGAATACAGCTATAACATTAAAAAGGACATTACTGCAAGAAAAAGAACAGTAAAGTTGCTGAAAACACTTTCAGCCTCTGAAGTTACTCTTTAAAACCAAGCTATAAACAGCATCAGTTGTACATTATTTACAGAAAATGGTTCAGAGCTACATATTGTATTAATAGTGTCCAGTCCCCCTTCGTTAGCTCAGATAGTTATTAAATTTTTATGATGTATATTTCAGTCCCTCCAGCTAATCGAATCAAAATTAGGCTAGTTCTGTACAAAATCATCTGTATTTCTACAATTCGATAGTGTCACTGCAAACACTCAGAGCATCAATTTGTCTGCACACATTGACAAACTCTGCTTGTACCGCCAGATCCCATTCCAGCTGTTTGCTTTCACTCAGGTGTTTAGTCCCTGCCAATCGGCCAGACCCTTGGCTGTCCTGGGAGGCTAAGCTCAGGGTTCGGTAACGCCTGTGGTAAGACAGGTGGGGGATTGCTCGTGGGAGGCTGCTCTGGGTAAAGTTTTGCCCTCTGTTGGCCCAGGAATGTGAGCGCAGCTTTCCTGTTTCTTTGGGGTGGCTGCACAGACCCTGGGTTGAGCCAGTAACGCTGCCCTTCCAATCCCATTGCTCTGGTGATATTGGTGCATTGCTATGAGATGTCAAACAGCCATGTGGCTGGGAGGGTCTGGAGCTGGAAAGGGTATTCTCTTGATCCACGTCGCCACAGGAAGAGGTTCGGTAAAAGCTATTTCCCACAGAGCTGGGCCCCTCCTTTGATGTGCTTTGACTAGGAGAGCTCAGGGAAAGGCTTGATGAAGTATGGAACAGCCTTGGCAAACCAAAAATACTATGAGAGAATAGGGATTCACTGTACAGAGCTTGGTCGATACTGCGGGACAAGTCTATTGGGGATGGAGGGCGCAGATCCACAGTAGAGTCAGTCTCTATACCTAAACTATCCAGTGAAGACAGCTGAGTCTCATCTGTGTTTTTAGGTTTGTCGGGTGGACAAGGGGGTGTAGGTAGAGGCAGTACAGTGTGGGTTTGGTTGGGCTTGTGGACACAGTTTAGTCCATTTCCAGGAGTTTCTGCTATTGAGCAAAGAGGAAGAGCTTCTGACTGTCCTTTGCTGACAACATCACAGACCACCAGCTTTTCCTGCTTCCCCTGGGACCAGGACTTGTGAGAAGAGAGGACAGGAGAATTTGCATCCTCCTGTGACGGCAGGGTGAGCCCTCGTGCAGGGGAGCTGCAAGATAGACGGGACCAAGTGCCTGGCCGGGGATGAGTTAGGGTCTTGATTGAGGAGTTGCTCTGACAGAATAAAGGGTGTGTACCAATGAGAGACAAACCCAGACAAACCCCAACCTCACAGATTCTGCAGCCTACCTGGTAGCCCCACCAGGGCCATGGCCGGAACCCATAGCCATCAACCCCTCCAAAACCAAAAGCATGTAGGATTCCATAAAGCTGAAAGCCTCCACATCCTAACAAGCATAAGGTCGTTCCGACTCCTGCTCCTGCAGCCCTATCCCAGTCCTCTACTTTGGCAAAAGGGCACACTGCAGGTCGCGTCAACTCAGGGGATCCTCCGCTCTCTCCATTGTCATTCAGTCTATAAATGTGCTTAGTGTTGACTTGTGTTAAGCAGTAAAAGATGAGGTAGGAGCATGAGAGAAATACGGTGAGACATACAAACATACCCTGAGGTAATAACAGGATCACAGTCGGGAGGCTGTGGAAGAGCTGGAGAATGCCAACACATCCTAGCGAGACTATAAATTGTAACAAGGACACACATAGCAACAGGCAAGGTTTGGGCAAGGCTGAGAATGAGGTAGAAATAGCAAGTGGCAGTGACAGATGCATGCGTGAGCGCAAGGAAAGTAGGAGGAAGGCCAAGGAGAAGGCTGAGATCAAACAAGGCAATGGCAGCTCAGACAGCAGCAGCGAGACCACAGGGGGAAGACGATCTTGGTAACTGTAAGCATCATAGAGCAAACAGAAAGCTTGGATCCCTGCAAATGCCAGAATGAACAAGTGTAGCAGTGTGAAGTAGGCGCTTCCTGGGGGACAGCGCAGGGGCAGGCCTAACAGGCAGACCACGGAGATTAGGCCAAATACAGCGAAGATGGACCCCAGGCCATAGATGTGTGCTTCCCACGCAAATCCCCACGTAGCGAGTGCAGAGTTCCAGTCTGAGTACAGGGGCACCAAAAGGGCAGGGCTGAGAGCCAGGGAGGGGTGCACGGGCTCGTTGGGAGTCAAGTCATCTGGGTAGGTGGGAGTCCAGGACTGATTTGATGGTTTGCATGGTGTGGCAGATGTGTCCGTGTTACCATCCTGCAAGACGGTGCCACTGGCCTTGGAGGCATGCAGGTCGTCATTCTTGGAGTCATCTGTAAAGCAAGTACAGTATGTTACAATGAAACAGATATGCCAACTTATAGTTTTTAGCTGACAGATATAGAGAGAATGCTAACACTCTGAAATAAGATGGGGAATATCAGCATTTTACCTCGTCATCATGTTAGCATTTAGCTCAAAACACTGCTGTGCTGGGAATACAGCCACACTTTACTGCCAGTGTGACTGTACACTCTTGTTATCAATTTTTTTGTGTAATTAAAGATCAGTTTTAACAATGACAACATGATGATGAACATAACAATCTAACCAGTGAATATAATTCGTCAAAAAAAAAAGAGAGCAGGATGGAATCTGCCGTGCGTGAAGTTAATCCATAATAAAACAGAGCAGGCTTGTAACTGGGAATCTCTAAGTGGGTCACAGGGAGAGCAGCAGCACGAGCAAGTTGTGAGTGTATGTGTTCATGTGAAAGTGACTGGGAGAGAAATGTGTGTTGATTAGCCAGTATTGACCTCATTGCTGCTCTCATTTTGTAAGGCTATTATTAAGCATGGTCAGGAGGTGTGATGCTATCTTTGATGTTGCATCCTTCCCATAATATATACGCAAAGGTTTTTAACTAGCTGGCTGTGATTGTGTAACCGATAAATAATGTAAGCATCTCGTTCTGTAGATGAAACAACGTTCAGAGTAAGCTGTATCGAGCCATCTGAATCGGGGAACCAACTGGTTATAAATGGAGTGTGTCCTATTTCTAGTCGTCCATTAGTAGAGAAGCGATTGTGTCAATACAAGACTCGCAAACAAACAGTAGGAGAGCTTTTAAACACGGGATTTACACTCTGTTTTTAATCTAAACCTGCAGTTCCTCTTGTGAGACAAGAAGAGGAAGAAGTATTTGGTAATATTTGGTGCAGTCACTCAACAAAGTGCTGTTCGGTTGAAAATTGACTGGTATTAAATCCATAGGCAGACGGAAGACTAACGTCTCACCCAGTTCTGTGAAAGTCCTCCTCCCCCTATGCTTGCGGACACAACACATCATTTACTTTGACAAGCGAGTGCCAGTGTGTGAGTATAGTAAATACTGCAGTGTGCAGGTGTGTACCACATTATCCAGTAACCAGCAATGGACACTAAATGCAAAGTGAATGAAACGTTTCTACGCTAGCAAGATAGGGGAGAACTAAATAGGTGAATCTGTGCTAAAAGGATTGAGAGAGCAAGACAGTGAAAGAGGTTTGAAGAGAGAATTTTGGGGAAAGTGAAAGCTTGTGGGGGAGTGAAATGATGCAAACCAGTCTGTGAATGTAGAACAACTGTGTGCGAGCAGAATACATATCGCAAATACTGCCGTGACACACAGGTCTGGAGTCTTTGGAGGTAATGCGGGCGACATAATAAACTCACATCAGGTATGAATAGCAAGTATAAACTGTGATTGGTGTCAGGCTTAGTTAAATAGATGATGCTTTGAATCAGTTCCATTTCATTCAAGACTCTTACCTCCGTCTGCCTCTGTGCTGACAGTTCCTCTGTGTAAAATACGATCTGTAAAATCAATCAGTGTCTCTCCTGCTCCCCGTGTGCTAACAGAAATGCCAGTAGTCCATCCCCAGCTGTCAGTGGCTAGTGGTGGAGTAGGATGCTCAGGCCCAGGTCCAGCAGGCAACAGTGAAGTTGAGTTCTGTTCTGGTGTGTGTGATGGGAGTGAGCCAGACAGAAGAAACGGTAGCTGGCTTTCATTCATCTCATTTTGCAAGGCTGGAAATGTTGGCTGAGTCTCTCCGGTCTGTGTAGGCTGCAACATAGATGCAGTGTTGCTCTCGGCAGACTGATACTCTACTGTTTGTTCCTGTGTAGGGTTAAATAGCACACTAACTGATAAAGACCTTGTTACTTGTATTCTCTCCTTGGAAGTAGTATCTTCTGTGGCACTCCCTGTGGGTCGGGATATGATAGGTCCCTTCTCATCTGGATACAACAGAGAGGTTTCTGTGCCCTCTTGTACATCACTGTATTCGCCAATCACACCTTGATTGTCTGCTTCCTCAGACGACGATAAGGGCAAAGGTAGACCCAGGAAGTCAGCATTATCAGGTCCAATCATGGGATTACCAGATCCATGAGGTCCATGTGAAAACTGCACTGCTGTGTCAGTGTCTGGTTGTTGCGCTTCTTTGACATTTTCTCCAGTTAACGCTTTGACATGAAGTGAGAGAGGCAAGGAAAGGGGGAGGAGAAGATAAATATTCCACAGAGAGACCATGGTGAGGCTCTGAAAACTCGACCACAAAGTCATTTGGGGTTGCTGTCCAGTTACATGCTTGACAGGTATGAAATGCTACGTGTCCGAGGATCTCATTCTTAACACACCTAGAAAAAACGGAGAGATAAATCATAAGCAAGACATTGTGAAAACACTCTCCAAATACAGTGCATTGTAAGGGTTCCTGAAATAAATGTGTTGAAATGCTGCATACGGGGTGAGAACTAAAATGCAAATATTGCACGTGGAAAGAATTCTAATGAGATATATGAAAACAGTCACCCCTCCATTGTTTTTTTTTTTATATATAATCTTGTGACATGCACACACAAACATTACGCTGCACAGATCCATTCATAATATCATCACAGAAAGAAATATTCAACACACAACTGCTCCGTTTGTTGCAGCCGTTCTCATCTGTGCTTTCTTACCTCATCAGTAGCCCACGCTGCTGCAGCCTCTTTAAACATATATGCCGCTCTGTGTTGCTGCATGTCTGCAGTCTCTGTCTGCATCGCACTCTGTGTCCTTTCATACTCACTGTGCTGTGCCCCTCTTCTCTCCATCAGGCAGCCGACACATGGGACAGACCCCACCTCCTCTGGACAACCCCCGCTATCCCACATGCTGCCACCACTGCACTGGTCTGACAGCCAGACTGTTTGCAGGCTGAGATTCTCCTGCATCCTCCCGAGTATACCATCTCTTTATAGTTACGTAGGAGCCTCACAGCGGAGAAGAGAAGAGAAGAGAAGAGAAGAGAAGAGAAGAGAAGAGAAGAGAAGAGAAGAGAAGAGAAGAGAAGAGAAGAGAAGAGAAGAGAAGAGANAAGAGAAGAGAAGAGAAGAGAAGAGAAGAGAAGAGAAGAGAAGAGAAGAGAAGAGAAGAGAAGAGAAGAGAAGAGAAGAGAAGAGAAGAGAAGAGAAGAAAGGGAGAAGAGACATAAATATGTCATTGCTGGAATGCAGCACTATAGTCTGAGCTAACCTGTGCTACAGATCAATACATGCAATCCAGAGTGATTTAGTTTTCTATTTGGTTAAAGTAACCATGACACAAACTGCTGATTTTTAACATTTCAAGTGCAGAAGTTGAAACTGAATGTTTTCTTTAAACTGCGTACATCCATAATGCATGATAGCGGTTGTTTTTTTATGCACCATCCATCTCTGAACATAAGCTTTTCTAATGAATAATTGCTGCCACTTGTGATCTTGTTGTCATGTTAATTATTGTGATTGGAGACTTTGATTGCATCATGTGATTTGTTTTTTTTAAAATTTCCCTCCTTTAAATGTTATCTGACTTCTTCACGTGTGCTGTTTTTACCCAGTGGGGGAAAATCCAGCAACCTCGTGGCCTAATTCAATACCCACGGGTGGTTCCAAAATAGACACTGATCCACATACCTTCGGATGCATTAGGAGACAGTGAATTTAAAACACAGACAGACCTCTTTGTTTGCTTGGTGTAGGCATCTCAAACGCTGATTTAGAAACTCCTCACTGACCGTTATTGCTGTATGAACCCGAACAAATCTGCCGCGGCTAATGCTGGCCGTGACTGTAAACACAACAGATTATAATTAAGAGAACAGTTTACCAACTCCTACCACTAAATTTCAGCTTGCCTCTGCACAGACGTGTGCTTGCACACCAAAAAAAAACACCTTTGCTCACAGCAATTTGATTTACATGCTCAGAAGTACAGCCTGAAAGACAGTGACGACTGCTGCAGATCATTTAGACAGTCAGTCAGTGGAGATAGGAACTTCCCCAGGGGTGTGATTAACCCGGTGTCTGATGAGGACACAGGAAAGCATCAACCCAGCCGTGACTAAAGGGACCAGAGAGGAACAATGACAGGGCAAACATATGAGCTCAGTCGGGGACATGGCCAAATTATTGCCGCCTCACACTTGCTTTCTGAATTCATTGAGCAACTGGTTTCTGTTTGGACAAATCATCCTCTGACAAGACAAAGTCAGCAGGGACTGGGGTCCAGCTGGGAATGAGGACAGCCAGGACAAGACAGAGAAACAAAGCTGCACAAGCAAAGAGGAGGATTAAAGAAAGTAAAGGCCCTAGTTAGGATGAAGGGTGTAGATAAGATATTGTTTTATGTTGTACATTGACTCCTGTTAAGCATATCCATGCAAGCATGACCTTTGCCCTTCAATTCCTGTCCCGGTTATTATCACAACATACAATGTCAAAGTGGCCTGGGTAAATGAATTCATAGATTACAAATGCATAAAAAAAACTCTGATGATTCAGATGTGACTGATTAGATAATGTAAATGCACACTTAGACACAAAAACAATCACAAATACATCTTTTCAGGTAGATACTTGGGAAATAAAGCTAACACATATCAAGGGCAGCCATCAAACATGTCTTTTCAAGAAATACATATCATACATGAATATCAATCACTAAACTATTATAGCCCTTTATAATTTTTTGAATTTTTTGTCTATTTGGGAAGTCAAGCAAGTAATTGTGGTCACTTTATCCATCACTTCACTTTAGATAAATAAGATTTTCAACAGCTGCCAAGTCAAACCGACTTATGTGTTGACAGGATTAGGATTAATATATAAGATTGTGGTCAGACCGGTCAGGACAGGTTTTCTTTAAGCTTGATGAGCAGTTCAATTCACCCAAAAATCACTGGAATGAAAGAGAATCCAGCTACCTTTAAATTACTGGGGTGTTTTACCAAGACATAATGAAGATCACTGACACAAAAGTCTTGTATAGTTAAACATATTTTTTCAATAATAAAATGGATTCTGATTCTAAACGCCTGTTAAGAAAAGGTGAGGAGTGAAACAAAACGTTTTGATGAGAAAACTGAGCAAAAAGCAAAAGAACGAGAAGTAACTGTAAAAGGCTGAGGATGTGAGATAGCAGTAATATTCTGATTCCGGCTTCAAATGTAATTATGTATCCACCAGATCAGCAAACATTACTGACAAACTGGCATCACAGTCCTTTAGAAAAACAGAAATGAAGACCATGGTTAAGCTTAAGTTAAAAGCGTTTTGTTTTACCATTATGTTGGTCTCACTGTTGCCATAACCTGATTTTAAATGCGTTCTACATTTACCTGCCTCCCCCCCGCTGAGTTATCTTGATTTAAGATTCAAGATTAACTTTATTGTCTCAGGCGTGGGAAATTTGTCTCGGCCTATACACCCATGCTGCAGCCAACACAAGCAGACACAAACAGGGAAAATCTAAAGCTGAGGTTATAATGTTTAAAGAACAAATGCTACGATAGCTTGTACGACTTTGATTCTTCGATCAAATCTCTGAACACAGCAAATGTGTTTGGCCATTTCAGCTGAAATATTGCCGTGCATTTCTCTACTTTATCATTCTATATTTTACTCTTATAAAAATACAAAAGACACATAATGTTTCACCTTTTTTTTTTTTTTATTGTGGCTCACTCAGATTTCATTGATAGAAAGTTGCCAAAAGCAGTGGGAGGAAGAGAGAACAGGAATGTGATTGAACAAGTTAGAAAAAAAGTTGATATGATGAATTTTTTTTTGGAGGGAAGCCAGAAAGATGAAAAAATACTATGCAAGCTAAGTTTTGTTCAACTGTACTTTGTTTAAAATAGGACAACATAGTGCAGAAGAGTGTGCATTTTGTTGAGCTGAGAAGAAACCTTTGATTGGATTAGATAGACTTTACTGCCTGGAATATGATGCTGAGAGAAGGAAGCTGATAATGAACTTTAAATATACTCTATGATATTTTACAAAGCAGTTCAAAGCAGTAGTATTTTCTGTTTTATGCATATTTTAGGAGAGTAAACTTTATAGAGAGATTATGATTCTATTTCCTAATTATTTTCTGTCATTTTTTCTTTTTTATGTATTCATAAAATGCATAATTAGATTTCCAATTGGTAACAGTTCTGCATTATAACATTGTTTACCAACAGACGAAGAATTGGCGCTCGATTGGATCAGCGACACTGCCTGACCAAGCGCGTCCAAATCTCAACAACCAATCACGTTACGTCTCCTAACCTCACCCACCAATCACAGCAGAGTGCCCCGCCCTCTGTGTTCTTTCGGCTGATTGCCCTCCAGCATCCTTCAAAAGAAGAAGTTCGCCTGACATGTGGCGCAAAGCCAAGAAGAAAATCACTAGAGGAAGACAACGAAGAAGGAGAAACAAGGCAAAAGAGGAGAGGCCTATTTGTCACGTTAGCGTTGTTCTCAGATAGGTGCCCAGTTAGCTAGCTGTTAGCTCTGCACTGCTGGCAATTGATGTTTCTGTGAAAAGTTCTTCCTATTTGTTGGAGCATCACCGGAAACAGACTGAAAGCAGGTCAGCAAGTCAACCAGCACACAGACTGAAGTTTACTGTCAAGACTTCGCTTATGTTCCACTTATTTGAGGTTATTTGCTTGTGTGTTATCTCTGACAGCGCTTTGCATAACTGTAAACAAACATGCTACCATATCATGTTAACTGTAGCGTGGGTTAACGTGAGGTTTTGAACACAAAAGCTAACATATGAGTCCTTTGTTAACGCTACTTGTAGTTTACTGCTAACTAGCGTTAGCTGCTACAGCTAACGAGGATTTAGCGTTACTTTAATTCAACATAATGCTAACTGTAGACAACAAAACGCAGCGTTATACAACACCACAGGGTGTTATGTCAGCAGCCTGGGTGATTGGTTTTAATATTTCGTTAATGTCTTCCTCGGTTTCTCTTTTCTTCAGGCACACTTGAGCTGTCGTCTGGTCCACAGAAGCCTGACAGCAGCTGCTATGTTGGCCAGGACAGCCCTGAGCAGAGGCGTTACCACCTACCGCCTCGCCAAAAATGTCACCTTGTACATGAGTGAGTTCACTTCTCCAGCCACAGGGTGTCATAAGCAGAGCTCTGAGGATCATAAACCCCTGATGCTGATGTTGCCCTGGTTGGGTTCACGTCCTCAATCTGTGGCCAAGTATTGTGAAATCTACTTTCGCACCGGCTTCGACGTGCTGGTGGTGGAGAGTGAGGTAAGACCTGACTGCACTGTTTGAATGGAGAATGTGGGCATTGCGCTTGTTTGAGTATTAGTCTGTATCTATATTCTTTAGGTGTTGATTGCAAAAAGGAAATATCTTTTAGGGACAAAGATTTTTGGTTTTTTTTGTTTTTTTTTCAAAATATCCAATAGGACTGACTTTTTTCATTTTGTTGATGATCAGTGAACTTTGTCTGAACTATTACAAAACAGACAACCGGTTTACCAAATAAAGTTGATGTTGACAATACATACCACAACCACACAAAACTGTAACAGCATATTAAATATTCAAGTTAAGCTAAATTTATTATGACGCTTTCATCCTGAATTTATTAATATTTCTACAATGTGTTGCTTTGATTCATAATGAAATATTAACAGCAAAGCTACTCTTTTACTGAGTTAGTCGGTGGTATCTGGTGTTCCACATCATGGGCTTTAGGTAAAAGGCTGCACCTGGGTTTGGTCTTTATGGAGTTATGGAAGATTGGAGTGACCAGGTTAAAGGTTGCTGAAGGAGAGTCATCGCACTGTTTAGAGCAGGGGTGTCAAACTGCGGTCCTCGAGGGCCGCAATCCTGCATGTTTTAGATGTTTCCCTCTTCCAACACACCTGATTCAAATGATCAGCTCATCATCAAGCTCTGCAGAAGCCTGATAACGATCCTGATCATTTGAATCAGGTGTGTTGGAAGAAGGAAACATCTAAAACATTCAGGATTGCGGCCCTCGAGGACCGGATGTCGACACCCCTGGTCTAGAGAATGGGACTCCTCTTAGACTGTTCTTAGTTATACATAAACAACTCCCCTGTAGAAGCCAGTGGTTAAGGTCGGTCTGGAGGGTGATTGTTTTTGGCTTTGAATCCTCTCACAGGCGTCTGAGATATTGTACTTGTTTAAATAAACTTTTTCATAACTCAAGACGGTATCTGAGGAGAATTTCTCCTTCATCTTCACATCATCGCTACTTAAGAAACAACAACTCTTTAGCCATAGCTGTGTTTATAGATATAGGAAACTACTGTTTGCATTGTAGGCATGTATCATTTGTTGTGTTGACATTTATTATTTTTGGAGCATAAAATACAGTAGAACAGATGTGCATCATTCATGTAGAAATTTGTGTTTATCTTAACTAAGCAATAAATAAATAGCCCAACATACCACTTCAGACATCTAAACTCACAAAAGCCTGTACTTATGTCATAAAGATAAAGAATTACACACCTGGAGATGTAGGAGTTAAGCAAGAGCATAGAATTTCAAGCACCTCATAAAGTTCATAGGCTACGGTCACCTGAAACGTTTTATGTACACACAACAGCACAGGAGACACATGCCGGTCAGTGGCACAAATGTTGCTTTGACCGAATATTTATGGTAGAGGTTAAAGGGCATCTAATGAACACAACAGAATGGCTGCTGGCAGTTCTGTGTTTGTGTAGGAAAGGAGCCAGTACACTCTGTAAAGTCTCATGGCTATGCAATAATATTTCCTGCTGTTGTACCAGTGATGGTACCAAAAGAAAAAAAAAAGTGTGGCAATGCAGCAAAAAAGGCAGGGGACGAAGAATGACACCACATTCGGGTCATTCCACCTCAAATAACCCAGAGCCTTCTGCTCGACTCTGTTTGTCATAAACTACCTCTGAAATTTTAGCTGGATACTTTGCATCAAATGCTTTCTGAGATTTAAAAAAAAAAATTCTAACCCATTGGCTGCACGGTGGCTCGGTGGTTAGCACCATTGCCTCGCAGCTAGAAGGTCGCTGGTTCGTGTCCCGGTGAGGACACCCGGGATCTTTCTGTGTGGAGTTTGCATGTTCTCCCCGTGCAGCGTGGGTTCTCTCCGGGTTCTCAGGCTTCCTCCCACAAGGTCCAAAAACATGTTGAGGTTAATTGGTGATTCTAAATTGTCCGTAGGTGTGAATGTGAGTGTGCTTGGTTGTCTGTCTCTAAGTGTAGCCCTGTGATAGACTGGTGACCTGTCCAGGTGAACCTGCCTTCACCCTGATTCAGCTGGGATAGGCTCCAGCCCCCCATGACCCTAGTGAGGAGATTGAAATGCAGTTTGAGGGCTAATAGGAGCAGCAAAGAGGAGTCCCAGAAGAGCTACTCTATAGATTTCCCTACAGGTAGAAGTGTAAAGTTAGAAATAGCCCTCAGCTTCAACCAGCATGTCCATGTAGAGTGGCTGCAGGGGTGCTCACATCCACTAGTTACGTGCCGTGATATCTCAGTGTTTTAGAGGGAATAACCAGTCACTAATGCCAGTGTTTCCCTAAACCTTTGACTTTGTAGTAAAAGCCTAATGATCAAATGAGAGGTGTTTCAGCTCTCTGTTTGTTTTTACAAAAGGTTAAAGAGTTCCTGTGGCCTCGCTGGAGTCTGGATCGTGGAAAGAACCTGCTGGAGCTGCTGCAGAGTGATCGCTTTGTGTCCCGCCCTCTAGTTGTCCATGCCTTCTCTATCGGTGGCTTCACGTTTGCTCAGATGCTGGTACATATATCCCGGGACACACAAAAATATCAGCCGCTCGCAGAGAGGATCAAGGGCCAAGTCTATGACAGCTTGGTGGTAGGAAGTCTGGAGACAATGGCCACAGGTCAGTCAGTATGAACATGCGTTACCACATACATTCATTTTGTTAGTGTCCACGATGCATCATCTCATTGTTTACATCAAAGCTACTGTATTTACTCATTTAATGATTCTCCTCTCTGCTCAGGTCTCGCTAAGACTGTATTTCCTCGTTGGGATAGACTGGTGAAAAAAATAAGCCTGTTATACTTTGACATTTTCAAAAAGCAAACGGTGGACTACTTCAACGTCGGCATCGATGCTTTTTGGAACTCTCCCATCACTGCTCCTGCACTGTTCTTCTTTTGCGAAAACGACGTGATGAGCGACGCAAGAACTTTGGAGGAATTGATCGATTACTGGCGGAAGCGTGGAATAGACGTGACGGCAAAGAAGTGGGAAGATTCAACACATGCAGGTCACCTAAAGAGACACCCACAGGAGTATCTGACATCCGTGGACGTGTTCCTTCAATCACTCCGCATTGGCCCACTGAAGGCAAAAATGTAAAACCGTTTCATTCCAGCCTAACTGGACTTTGCCTGTTTTCTGTGCTTTGACTCCAAATGTTTGTTGGCGTATGATGTGTTACTAGACTAACAATATGGTCCGCTTGCAGTTGTTTTCAGTTGTATTTCCAGTTCAAGGCTTCAGTATGGCCACTTCGGATAACTTTAATATAATATGATAAACTGCACATACAAAGAGTCCTTTTGTCTCACAGATTCTTTAAGTGAAATATCCAGAACTTGAAATGGAGACAATCACGTGTTTATTTATGTACTGTATAGCAACAGTGGCTTTAACCTTCGTGGTTAATGATGTTTAATCTCAGGATGTAAAGTTAATGTCTGTTTGGAGTTAGCTGCATATCGAAATTGCACATTTACATTTGTCACAACTGTGATGTCATTCCATTGGACACTACATAGGTCATAGGATTTTTTTTCAGAATGCAACGTCTCATATTTACAAAGATCATTGATTCTTTTAATGGTCTGTTAACTTCAAGAAAAATATGTCTGGATTCTGCCATGTTGGAGCTCGTGAACAATGCTAAAGAAACACGTTATAACCCTATTTATTTTATTTATCTTCCTACTAGGGGGTGAGCAATATGTTTGGTTTTTTTTTTCAGGGCTGACTCTAATACAGATAATTAATGATCAAGGAGACGGATCCCTGATATTTGGAAGTGATGCACATATGCAGTAAAAGTGAAGTCCTAGAATATCACAAACTCCAACATAAAACGTTGAAACGTTCATAATTTATTGCAACAGTTTTTGGGTGCTAGTTTTGCTTGACACTAACTTGTGGTGTCAGTAAATGAAGTGTATGTTTTTCAGATAGAAGGTTTATTGCTATTAAAGCTGGGGTAGGCAGTTTTTATTGGCTTCTGTAAATATGTTCAAATCAACAGTGCCTTTGTAATGGAAGTTTTCTATGCCTGTACATTGCTCTAGCTAAAGACCGTTCACCTGTTTGCCTTAATGACCTCGCTGCTCATGCACTTCTTGAAAGAACAGAGAGGAAGAACTTTCTTGTAAATCCGAATGCACGTCTCATAAAGTAGACGCACACTATGTCTCACTATGTCTTGAAGGTTTTTTTTTTTTTGTCTTAACCGCAATTGCATCGGCACACCTACAGTTAAGAGCTTGTTTAGCTGCAGGGAAGATGACCTAATCTGCCCGGCAACTGTTCGTTTTGCACATCAGGAAGACCGCACCTTCACTGAATAAAAGTAACTCAGTTGTGCTCTCCTGCAGACTGCTTTGCACTTTGTATGACCTGTGCCTTTGAAGATTCAAATAAAATAGAACAAAGACAACTCAGACTTCTGGATTTTATTTAATGATAGTAAAATTTCCACAACACCTTCACAAAACACCAAAGCTGCAAGGAACTGGCAGGACTTGAAAACTGTTCAAATTTCGTAGTTATTGTTGTTTTAATCATTTACAAATAAAAGGTTTATTGAAGGTGGTGGTTGACCATCTAATGGTACCTATTACATAATATAATGACGCACTGTGTCAACACATAAATGTTTCTCATGTGTGACAGAAACTGACAACAGTTTATGTGAAAATGTTTTCCTTTCATGCAGTTTGAAAATGAATATGAAGATGCCTTATTTGAAGTGTGATTTTGTTTTTTGTTTTTCCAGACTCACTTATTAAAATTTCAGATGTATTTAAAAGGAATCATCGTCTGTTTTGTACGAAAGTGCTAAAGCCTAAATGGGAAACACTAAAGCCTATTGAAAAAATGCTGCAGCTGCAGTGCCTTAAATGACGCTGCACTAAGCAAGAAATAATGCTGACTTTCTGATTGGTGTCGAAGACAATGGGCTTGGGTTTTTTTGGGGGAAAGAGGGGAGTTGGCAAACGTATATAAGGTCATGTATTGTTGGCTAGCCAAATCTCGAGATTTTGCTCATGTTTGTTCATGCAGCCTCTGTATCGAATAAACATTATTCACATCAGACCCTGAAGACTGAAGATTTTTTCCTTCTCGTATCTTTTTTTTTTTTTGAGGACCAGAAGTATGATTATATTGTTATATGTTTTGACGAAGCTGCCTGATCATCGCTGGCCTGTACAAGGCAGACCGAGTCACGAAATTAGCATGCTGATCTCGCAGGTTAAAAAGAGTTGCCTTCATCACACTAAAAACTCCGACTTAAGGCTTAACATACTTCGCTATCCCACTAATCTTGCTGTGTAGTTCAGCTTTCTGGTGGCAGAAGGTGTGCAGCACATCTACAAACATCAACATACCACATAAAGGACTGATTTTTTAAAACTAGAGCCGTGAAAAACAGTACTTCCATCCATCCGTTGTCTATACACCTCTTAATCCTCACTAGGGTCATGGGGGGCTGGAGTCTATCCCAGCTGACTTAGGGTGAAGCCAGGGGACACCCTGGACAGGTCACCAGTCTATCACAGGGCTACACTTACAGACAGACAACCAAGCACACTCACATTCACACCTATGGACAATTTAGAATCACCAATTAAGCTTAACGTGTTTTTTGGACTGTGGGAGCCGGAGAACCCGGAGAGAACCCACGCTGCACGGGGAGAACATGCAAACTCCACACAGAAAGTCCCCCACTGGGACGTGAACCGGTGACTTACTTGCTAGCCAACTGCGCCACCTTGCAGCAGGAAGAAACTTGACTTCCCTTTTTTTCTTCCTGAAACCTTCAACCTCTCATGCAAAAGCCTTCCTAGTACTAACTAGTATATTGTGCCCCCACAACTGACATTGCTAACGTCCCATTAGTGACCCAGGACTCTTTCTCAAGGTGTTGTAAAACTGCCAGGTGGAGGATGTTGGAAACTTACATACACGGCGTCCTCCACTCCTCTCTCAAACCAGAATGTCCAGAATGTGAACACTGATGTCCTCAAAGCAGCGTCCCTTATCCTTTAGATAGAGGTGAACTGCTGGTTCTTGTCCTGAGGAGACGACTCTCTGTTAATCCATGTGCTTGCGTTGCGGCTGTTTAGTCTCTCCTATATATATTTACTGGTGCATCTCAGACAACTACAATATCATGGAAAACTTCTGTATTTTCCATTAGTGACTTAATGTTCAGAGCAAGCTGTATCGAGCTCATCTGAATCAGGGAACCTACTGGTTATAAATGGAGTGTGTCCTATTTCTAGTCGTCCATTAATAGAGAAGCGATTGTGTCAATACAGGACTCACAAACAAACAGTAAGAGAGCTTTTAAACACGGGATTTACACTCTGTTTTTAATCTAAACCTGCAGTTCCTCTTGTGAGACAAGAAGAGGAAGAATTTGGTCATATTTGGTGCAGTTATTCAACAAAGTTGAAGTAGGTTGAAAACTGACTGGTATTAAATCGATAGGCAGACAGAAGACTAACGTCTCACCCAGTTCTCTGAAAGTCCTCCTCCCCCTATGCTTGCGGACACAACACATCATTTACTTTGACAAGCGAGTGCCAGTGTGTGAGTATAGTAAATACTGCAGTGTG